TGACTTGAAATAAAGCACTTGTTAGAGTGGAGCCATCGCTGGTAGTTTTTGAAATGGATAGACACACTAAGCGGGCTGCAGCATTTTCAAAAACAGACATAATAAATGATGAAAGACTTCATAATTCTCCAGCAGTAGATAAAAGGATCGGAAGGTAACTCTGCTGATTTAATTGCTCACAGTCAATATGAGAACAATTGTACAAGGAAATAAAAAATTCTGTTTGCTTGATAACTGGTGTTTATGAGGGAGAGCGGGTACAGAGCGCTCTTTTTCATAAAACCAACTTATTATTGGTAAAAGATGAATCCAAGTTCACATTTGTTTTCTATAACTGCATTTCTGCAGTGCTGAATGTCTTGTGGACTGTTTCATCCTCGGACTCCCTCTTCAGCCTAACAAGGAGATGTTGTAGTATTGACTGTAGCACTGTATTAAAAGTTATGCCTGTGAATTACTGTGTTGGGCACACAGACCACCAAAAATGTATTAAATTTGACCTGAGTTTCTACATGTCTTGAACAGATCTGAACCAGCGCAACGTCACTTGTATCAGAGTTCATCGATTCACATTTTAAATAAATTGGTGGCTTTAACCTGAGAAGTGACAGGTACAGCCACACAGCCACCTCCAACCGTGTTACAGGCTGAAGATGATTCCGTTGTTAGAGTGCAGCCAGAGATTTGGGAGGCTCAGTCCAGTTTACACCTTTCCTATGTCAACTCAGGTAATTTGTGTTTCTGTGAGTCCATATCTGTAGTGAGGTATTGTCTTTTACCATATGTAATAACTAATTTTATAACATTAAAGGAGCATTAGTGGGTTTCCTTTTTGTGTAGGAGTGAGGATAAAAATCTTAGGAGTGTAAAGTGTTTGGTTACTAATGGGAACTGTGTAAGCTTCTACAATAGATAGCCCAGCTGAAAAATAAAAATAATAAAAAACGATAGTCATACTAGAGTGCTAGCATTTCTTCTGTGTGATAGGCAGACTAAAAGGAGAATGAAATTCAGGAAGAAATGACCACGGAAAAGCCGATCACTGTCATGCAGACTTAACGTTTTCCCATATTAATATTTGTTAGAGCTACTGCAGCACCCGAGAAATACTGGGACAGTTACAAACTGTTCTGCCTTTCCTTTTTGTTGCCGTTTAGAAGCTGCTTCCCAGTGAGATGAAATGAGATGCCAGGAAATAGGTCCTCCTTTCCCTGTTTGGTGTGAGAGGCGTTCTCCCGAAAGTTCCAGGTGGAATAAGGTAAGCTGACGGAGGCAAGGGCTGAATCTGAAGATTTTAGGCCTGCTGTAGAAAGAAGCATGGTGATGGCAGCAGACACAAAGAATAACAAGAGGAAATGTATATAAATAAAGGAAAAGTGTAGATTGGAAGAGGGTATCATCCATGTAAGTGGTTGAAAACGAAATGGCAGAGGAGGGGTAGAAATTTGATTTCACAACTGCTGATGCTAACTGAAGAAGACAAACCAAAAAGTATTTCATTTTGGGTTTTTTACTTGCTGGCCTTGGTGACTGCTGTGAATTGTAAGACACAACACTGATTATCGCCACTTGGCGGCAGCAAACAATATAAAAAACTTGCTTTAAAAAAATCTGAGGGGCAGTGAAAGCTCTCAGATTGAGCCAATGTCTGAAGGCCTCTCTACATATTTCTAGCTGTATCTATGTTAATGATTGTTTATGCCACAGGGTTTCTTCTTTTGTTCCTGTGATGTTTGTGTTAGTGGTTTATATGTGTTATGACCCCTTGGATACTACTTTGACAGTCCTCTGCTCCTGCATTGTACCAACAGATCTATTTTGTTAGATGTGACTTCTCCTGAAACAGCAATCAGAAGTGTAGT